TTATCATGTGCCTTTTATTTTTTCACGCAGAAATAACTCTTAAAATTCTGCTTTTTATTTTAAAACGGTATATAACTCATACTGGCGTGTCGAATATTTTTAGAAACAAAAATATAAAATAAATTTTTAATACAAGAGAGTTCTTTTATTTTAAAACTCTCACATATATAAAAAGCATGCATAATATTAAGGATAAAGGGTTTATTCAGATATGAGTATAGACAACTTTTTGTTACTGCTTTTTTTTATTTTTGAAATAACTGTTATTTTCTGACAAACTATAAATTTTTTAAATATTTGTATTTAACTTACTGGTACTGAAGTCATGCAAGTCGGTTTCAAAACGGTGGCATCTCCTTTACTACCACGCATAATTTTACTACTTGTATCAATTAATGTTAATGGTGTGGAATAACCAATTGGTACGCCAGTCATAAGGCAAACACTTTCTGCCAAAAGCTCAAATACATGCGCCAAAGGTAAAAAGCTGTATTAAAAGATAAAATTAGTTTTTTTTATTAAATTTAGTTTTCTTATTATAACTTACCCAATCAGTACATCATGCAATCTGACATTTCCATTGGAAACGTTGACATTTTTTTAGCATAACATCACTCAGAACGTGTTGTCATGTAATTGGACAACACTCTCTGCAATTGGTTTGCAGAGAGTCTTCGGAGAAATTCGAAAAACGAACAAGAGAAGACGAATCATTGTTCACCATGACAATGCGAGCTCTCACACATCGGCTCAAACCAACGCCTTTTTGACCGGCCAAAACGTTGAATTGATGGGTCATCCGCTGCCCGACTTGGCACCCAATGACTTCTTTTTATTCCCACACATCAAGAAAAAATGCGTGGTCAACGATTTTCGTCGCCAGAAGATGCTGTTGAAGCGTTCAAAAACCATGTTTTGAAGGTTTCTCAATCGGGGTAAAAAAAGTGCTTCGACAATTGGTTTGAGCGCTGAAAAATACTTTGAAAAACAGTAAAACTATTTTTGCTGATAAATTTTCGCATTTTTATTTTTAGGCCAGAAATATATATAGCAACCCTCGTATTTTGCGAATGTTCTTAAAAAAGCTGGATTCTAAATCCAAAAATTTGCCGAATTTAATAAACGTGCATCTAAGTCCGCAAATTGAGAAGTATACCTATCACTACTTTCATTTTATTATATGCTATCAATCAGTGGACATTTTTTGTTTTTGATCGTTCAGTTTTTGAAATTTTATTATAAGTTATTTAAATAACATATAATTTTTAGAAAAATATTTTGAAATTAGATAAAATTCATAATTTAGATAATTATAAATTAAATTGCATTATAAATTATTGATGGTACATTGAACTAACTGATAATAAAGTGTGATAACATTTAATTAAAACGTATAACTGATATACTCTATTGTAAAAACATACGTCATTTTCGATAATTATATTGAAACATTTAAAAAGGTTAGTTGAATTGATTAAAAATTAACAGTTTTAAATACATACCTAAAATAAATTTATATCAGAAGTTAATATATATAAATTAAAAATACATGTAAATTTATTCGCAAAGATATTTCATTTTATTAATATACATAAACGAACTATACAATTGCTTTGTGTACAAATATCTATATATGTTCATGCAAAGCTAATTATAAACAATAAAATTTATTGTTGAATTCATTTATATTATTAGATTATAAGTATATTGTAATTTTTAAGATTTATTTTTTATCAATAAATATAATGGGTCTGTCAGTCATGACCATAATTTTAGTTTGAATAAAATCATAACATATTACGTGTATATAAGTATATCCAATTATATCAATTTAAATTAAACTATTACAATTTATTTGTCTTACATACTTATTTTTAAACTAATTAAAATATATTTTATATTTTATTACCAAGTCTTTTTTACTTAATTTTTCATATTCAGTTTTTACAATTAATAACATTAAAAGCAATTAATCTAATGTACATTTATTTTGTTTAGGTATAATCAACATAACTTTATAAAATAATTTGGTAAATATATTTTTTTACAAAATTTAATAATAATATTGATATATTAAAGTTTATACAATTTTTTATAAAGTTTTCATTTTCTTCAATATAAAATTGTTTAAATTTTTTTAATTATTTACATTATTGATTCTCCTATTAACTACACATTTGCAATGTTCTCAATCTAGTTTACAATAAATTATATTTTAAATATTATAACAAATACATAAATATATGTTATAACTCGCTTTTTATTATATTGTTATAAAAAATTAGAGTGTAAAAAGAAGAAACTAACAAGTACAACTGTGCTAAGAAAAATTACATATAATTTAGTATTAAATATATGTAAATATTTTTATTTAAAATTTTTTAAATAAAAAAACTTTATATATATTCAATAATTGCACTAAAAAAGCTTTTAAAATATAACATAATTTTGTGTATATCCCATAGGTATAGATATATCAATATATTACAAAATTTGGTACTTAATATTACAACAAAGATTTAAAATATTATATAATATATGTGACTTATTTTATAGATAACATTTTTTCTAATATAAACTTTATACAATTTATAATTAGTTTTTCTAGCATTAAATTAGATATTTTATAATTTTTTTGTTTTTTTTCGGAAAAGGTATTCAGCTAAAAATACCTTAATTTTACTTCAATTTTTTTTTGTATAGCAAAAAAAAAAAACTAATGTTAAAAATATGAATATTTCTTTAAATATAAACGCAATCAAATAAAAGCACAAACTATTTTAAAAAACAAATGGACATTTAGTATTATGCTTTGAAATTCTTTCGTATTTTTTGCCTCGTAGGATTCCAACGCTTAAAAAATTTTAGTTTGCGTCAGTCAAAGCTTTAATTATTGAAACTTAATAAGGTAATTTTCATGAAGCATACATGCGATTTATATCATGTTGGTATTTGTCTTGTATGTCTTTGCGCTTAAGTTTAAAGGCAGCTGTTACCAAGCCCATATCTGGAGACCAAACCTCTTTGCATAAAGTGATAGCAGCAGGTACTTCAAACTTTTGTAATTTACCTAAAACAAAAACCATAAGATAGTTTTCACGTTAATTTTAAATAAATAATTTAAATAATTAAACAATTAACAATATTTTAATATATTGGTAATTTAACTACAAATTATTGATATGTAAAAAAATGTGAGAGAACTTTATTAAATTTATTAAAATTAATTGCCCAATTAGCAAGGACGTTTAAAACATTTAACTAATAAATTATAAATTTTGCCAAAAACATTTGAATTACAAATTAAAAAAGTAATTTTTAGTATATACATACTTAAAAGAAATATTTTAATCATAACAGACACTTATGTACTTTTTACAAACAACCTAACCTAGCTATCGAAGTTATTCATCCAAATAAATGTAAAATACTAATTTAGATCACCTCATTGCGTATATTCACATAGAAATATAGCTTATATTAGTTTATTGCTATATCTACAGAACACGAAATGTTTAACCAATTCAACTAATATGGTTAAATATATATACAAATTGCAATAATATTTTTCTGAACACAATTCCCTTCAACCCCTTCACTATTTATTAGACCATATTTGATCATAATGGTACCTAACGTATTTCTATAGATTACACATTAACTGTAAAAGCTAAAGATCACTCCCTCAACTCTTCCTGTCCCACACAACTACAATTCTAATCCATGATTTTATCTTATAATCCATTCGTATTTCCTATTCTATAGTTCTCTACGGTTATTATATTGGACGCGTATTCCATATACGCTATTTATTTTGTAAATATCGTTACACCAAAATATTGCTAAATTTTCTATATATTCAATAAATACTAACATTTTCTCGCATGTTCCGCAATTTCTTTAATCATAGCTTTTTCCAATACTGGTGATGCACATAACTCATCGAAATGTTTATTTTCTAGGCCATGACGTTGTGCTAGTTCTTCTAAATGTTTCTGGTTGGGTACTACTAATCCAACAGTAAATTGTTTTGATGGATCACCATATACGCAAATATTTTCAATATATGGACAAGTTTTTAATTCTGACTCAACTTTTCCAAGTGAAACATATTCTCCAGCTTGTAATTTAACTAAATCCTTTTTACGATCTATAAATTGAAATCGTTAAAGATTTTTTTTCAAACAGAAATATGTTAAGTTATTACCAATAATTTTAAGTACGCCGTCGGGATGTATTTCACCAACATCTCCAGTTTTGAACCAACGTCTGCCATCTTCTTCAAAGAAATCTTCAGCTGTTTTCCCAGGTAACTTGTAATAACCCAATGACACACAATCACCACCAATCAATACTTCTCCCTATAGTAAATATGGAAATTAAAAATTAGATAAAAAGTATCTACAACTACAAGTAAATTTGTGCTTACTTGAGGATATGGTTTATTAGTTACTCGATAATTTCCTTCCTCCCAATTAACTAGGCGTATATCACATACTGTCAAAGGTGCACCTGTGCGTCCGTATGTCAAATCACGATCTATTAATTTCAAAATATTTCTTACATAATTGTGCTTGAATAATTTAGAAATAGTTTTAGAGCTTACAATCCATAACAGTTGCTCCTGATGTCGTTTCAGTTAAACCATAGCCTTGTACTAAATCTACACACAAACATATTTTAATTTGCTCGTGTGTATCCGGTGATAGTGGAGCTCCTCCAGACATAATAATTCGTACGCGACCACCAAGCAATTTTGATACTTTATGAAAAACTAGCCTATAACAAATATAAGATGATTATTAAAAATAATAAAAAATATTCAAATTTTTTTGGAACAAACCTGTCTACTAAAGGTGTAAGATAACCTTTTTGAGTCCAATTTAATTTGTACTGATACAGAAATCTGAACAATGCCTTTTTGAATGCTGAGCCAGAGTTAATTTTATCGTTAATGCCTTTAGATATCCGATCTAAAATGAGCTGGAAAAAAAAAACAAAATTAAATTTATTAATCTAGTTAGAGTTTAACCTTTCTTAAAATTATTGTTATCGACCCCAATTAATCAATTAATTATTAAATTTGAGTTTTTGTAGTTTTTAATTTTTATGTTATATTTGTATTTTTATGTATTTTATGTGTATTGATTTAGTTTTGTCCCAATTTATGAAATTAAGTGTTTTATTTATTTTTATATAAGTTTTATATAAATCATTTAATAGTGTGTAGTTCAAAAGGAAAAATACATACGAATTATTTTTGCAATAAACATATATACATACATATATATAAACATATATATGACAACTTAACATAGCAAATTAGTAAATATTGATGAGTTTATTATAATCTACAAAAACTTACACCACTACAAAACAACACAATTTATGTGTGCCGTGAAAAATAATTATTTTACTTATATATCATGTCAAAAACAGCTAATTGAATCACAAGTTAGTTCATAAACAGGGACCGTAACAGTTATCATAAAAAAAAATTTAAATCAGCTTACTCTTATCATTCGCATTTTAAAATAAATGTCAAAAATTAATAATTAAATTTGCTTTATATTATATTCATCAAATATAATAATTATCATGTGCCTTTTATTTTTTCACGCAGAAATAACTCTTAAAATTCTGCTTTTTATTTTAAAACGGTATATAACTCATACTGGCGTGTCGAATATTTTTAGAAACAAAAATATAAAATAAATTTTTAATACAAGAGAGTTCTTTTATTTTAAAACTCTCACATATATAAAAAGCATGCATAATATTAAGGATAAAGGGTTTATTCAGATATGAGTATAGACAACTTTTTGTTACTGCTTTTTTTTATTTTTGAAATAACTGTTATTTTCTGACAAACTATAAATTTTTTAAATATTTGTATTTAACTTACTGGTACTGAAGTCATGCAAGTCGGTTTCAAAACGGTGGCATCTCCTTTACTACCACGCATAATTTTACTACTTGTATCAATTAATGTTAATGGTGTGGAATAACCAATTGGTACGCCAGTCATAAGGCAAACACTTTCTGCCAAAAGCTCAAATACATGCGCCAAAGGTAAAAAGCTGTATTAAAAGATAAAATTAGTTTTTTTTATTAAATTTAGTTTTCTTATTATAACTTACCCAATCAGTACATCATCTGGGAAAATTGGTACGACATCGCAAAATCCTTTCATAGTTGCTATTAAATTTTTATGCGAAAGTAAAACGCCTTTAGGTGTACCAGTAGATCCTGAAGTGTACATAATAATAGCAATATCATCTCCTTTGGGTGGTAAACTCTCTGCAAAAATTACACAATTCATATTAAAATCATACATTTTTTAAACTGGAATTTTTTGAAACATGATATGCAACATTTTTAAATAACAATAATCAATAAGTAAATCATAATTTTAATGAAATTCATTTTTAAAAATATTTACCAAATTTGCTATCTTGCCCCGTGCGTACTACTTGTGAGAATGGTATTATTTTAACGCCTTCTTTAAAACCGCTTGTATCAGTTTTATGTAACTGATCTTCCATATATATAATTGTATCCACATTGGGGCATTTCTCCAGCAAGACTTTGAATTTAGGTAACAGATCATGTGAGGTTATTACAGTTGTAACTTCGGTTTCACTTATACCTGCAAATTAATTATATAATAATTATTAATAAATGGTAACTTTAGTTTTAAAATTAAAACTTACAATGAGCTACTCCTTCATCACCTAATGTAGCATATACAGTTACAATATGCATTGACTGTTTAAAGCAACCATGAGCAGCAATCATCCATTCAGCACGTGTTTCAGCAAAAAGAACTATATTTCTTTGAGGTTCCTGACCACATTCCCGCAAGCCACGTCCAAAAGATGATGCCATACGTTCAACTTCAATAAAATTTTTCCACTTATATTCTCCCATATTGTACTTTTTGAAAATGCGTCCATTGGGTTGTACTTCATCCTCTTCACTTAGAATCTGACGTGTACCCAAGCAGCGTTTAGTTGAATGCGTTTTCGCCACGTAGTTAAACATCTTCTCCAATGTATCAATGTTAGCCTGCAACATTTTTACATGGACTTCCCGTGGCGGTTCAATAGTGCGATATGTCATTGAGGTCTCATCGGTGGTAATAGCCTTTGCCTATAGTAAACAATATATAAAAAATATAATTAATATATTTTTGATTCTAAATACTTTTTTAAAACGGGTGAAGAAAATGGTTGATAAACATGTGACAATTAGTGTTCGCAAAAAAATTTCAGTGCAATTTCCCACCAAATAGGTCAAATTAGGGATAAATGAATAATAAAAAACTCATTTTTCGAACAAAGTGTAACCCGATGGACAACAAAGAATACAGTGTATATTAAAAACGTATTTGAGTGAAATACTTATAATTATTTTACAACTAATTGGACTTCTAATTGTGTATGGAATAAAACTGTTCAAAAGTTTTTTGGGTTCCCAGCACCTTGTAATATAAAAGGAAAACTTGTCAGAGGCTCGTAATTGGAAATATTTATTTAATAGTTTAAAAACAACCTCAATATCATCCGGCGAGTATTTGTATTTCTCAGCCGATTTGTCAATTACAGCAACAGCCTATTTAAAAGATTAAAAATAATATTTAGCGTAATAATATATTTGTTGCGTTCAATTCGCCAACTATGTTGGCTGAGCGAATTTATCTTGGCTGAGCAAATTACTTGATATGACCACTTAACATAACAACTATTAAGCAATCATTGGTAAGCGATAAGGTTCAATATTATATTATTAGCTTTATAGTCTAGATAGCGTCGTCATTTTTTCTAATAAAATGTTTATTGAACACGAATTTTTAATGAAATGTACGACTACTTATGCTGACTTCTTTTAGAATGGATTTCAATTATGCCATTTAACTTAAAAATTGAGATACTATTGAATTCAAGCCTATATAGGTTTGGCGAATCAAACGCTGCAATTAAATACTTAATTAAAATGTAAAATTTTCTTAAACTAACTATTTATAAACTTTAAATATTAAATTTTTTTATTTGTAAAATCTTTGATATCAATTTATTCACTTTACGTCACCATTTTGTATTTTAATCCCTATTCCTATTTCTAATCTCACCATCTTAATCATATATCTATTACTAAGACCTTTTTTATTGAATGATTTGTACGAACCAATAAAATAAAACTTTGCTTCGGAGATCAAATTTTTATTCTAACCAAAACACTTTCTGCTTTGGGTTTGGGAACAAGTAGAAATTACCGAGGGCAGGGTGACAACCAGTTAAATACACAGAGTGGGGAACCGATACAAAGTGTAAATCGTATATTTTCAGCATCATTATATTCTATTACAAGGTTTTCATTCAATTTTTTTTCTATTGTTTTAAAAATATTAAAAATTCTTGATGGAATAATATTTTGTTCTTCTGTTGTTATTTTGTGGTAACCCATGAACATTTGTTGGTATAGTTCCTTTTGTGATTGACGAACGGCACTTGGTTCTCAAAATAAACGAGTAGATCTGGGACGTAAGTCCGAACGATTTTGAAATGGTCTCTTTCTACGATTTCATTAATATTTGTTGTTTCATTTGAAAAACAATCGTTATTTATTATAATGCAATTATTTCAATTCAGATTAACCATAAGCTTTCTGATAAATAGTTGCAACACCGTTCACTCAACTTTTTTTTTTTTAATTTTAATAACGATTATTAAAATATAGATAAAAATGGTTTTGATATTGCACTTAGTACAAATAACAAATAAAAGGTACTAACAAGTAGAATATTTAAACTGAAAATATTCACCGTTCACTCAACTAATTGTAAATATATCTCCAGATGCAAGGACGTTTCTTTTAGTATAGGGTACTGCCGCATAAGGAAAGGCTTGTTGTGCGTTTTAGTATATCCCAATAGTGTTCAAAATCATCAACGTTTTACTACTTTTGATCGACTACAAGTCCCTATATAGGGACTACTGGTCCCTATAATAGCATGCTCATTACCAAATATTCATGTAATATATAATATGTATATCCAATGTTTGCTTCCTCAAAGTTCATCTTACCCCCAGGTCTTGCAACCGTTTTATGTATTCTGTTCTCTAAGTTCTCGGGGATTACAAACAAAACAAAGAATTATGTATGATACACATGTGACAAAAACTCATTTTGTTCACGATTTTCATTCACATTCAAAAGAGAATCATTTATTTATTTCACTATTCAAAAACTTTACTATTTTAACTACCACTAAAGTTACATACAAATAAAAAATTAAATTTTATGGGAATCTTAACCCTAACATGATAAAAACTATTTATTTGTTACACTATCACATGACATATCACATATGTAAACATATTATATTATAATTATTAAAATTTTTATAATGCCGGTATAACAATCCGCAAACGACATGTGAGAACTGCGCAAAACAGAAGATTTTTCTGATTGATTAATTTTAGGTTTAAGCATCTGATTTCTTCAAATTCCAATTAGTACCAATTAGTAAAATTGGTAAGATAATGCAATGGGTTAACTGTACGAAAACTTTAATAACGAACAGTATACAAAAAAGTTTATCACAGCAAAAATTTCAATATAGTTTGTCAAAAAAATCTTAAACTTCCATTTATCTACATATAAAAAATTGAATGTTTTTTCCATAATCAATTATTTAAGTCAATCTACATATTTATGCGTTTTCCTGTTACTAAGCATATTTATACTATTGTAATTACTCGATATAATTGTTTATTATTTTAATTTACACTTTTTTGCTTCTTAAAACATATTTTGTTGGTTTTGAACTTTGTACCGAAAAGTTGTAAAATTACGACATATGGTTTTGTAAAATAATTATCATGTTAAATTAAAAATGTATGTTTAAAATTTGTTTGATTAAATTACCTTCACTCTTTTAGCCTCTTCCCTTCGTTTCCATGGTCTTTGTAATACCAAATAGACCGGCAGCGTTAAGATATCGGCCAAAAGGGTAATGGCCTTAAGTGTGCCGATGATACCTTGCACCCAAAAGCTTTCCATCCTATAACAAAAAAGAAAAATTTAAATGGTTTAAATATAGAATTATATATATATATGTAATAACACATTTTTATTAAATTTAAATAATTAATGTACAAATAATTATATCAATAGTAAAGTAAAAACTTTAATAACAACCAACCTAAGCTCTTTACTATCAAATGACAACTAACAAAAAATTCTACATAAAAGTAAAATATGGAGCAATACTACTCGGTACGAAATTAAGTTAATAAAACTTGCGAATTTTACTCTCTTAGAACTAAAAACAAAAAAAAAAATTTTTATCAGCGATATATTTAAAAGTGATAAATCGAGGTTGAGGTGAAAAAATGAAACTAAAGAAAATCAGGCTGGCTATACGTGTATATGTGTATATACATAGTCATATATGAGTTATCTCTTATCAGTTGTCTTTTTCCTTTTAAGAATAGTCACTTGATAACACAACTGCTAAACTTAGTTTATACAAATAATTATACAAATAAATCAGAAACATTTGCCATGACGTAATTCTAACAAATTTTAAAAATTAAATTCTGATTAAATTCCGATAAACATATTTTTGCAAAAATTATTAAAATACTTAAAAATATTTTATCTAAACGAAATTACGGCAAAAAAAATTTAAAAGTAAATTTTTTATTACATTACTCAGTAATTAAATAATACTAAACTAAGGAAACTTTAATAAAAATTCCAGAATTTATAAACTATTGTAGAGTGGTAACTGTTTAACAAAGGTAGGCTTCGATCTGTATAGGGATCAACATTTTTAAGTCTCATCTAATGCCGCACAACTACAACAGTGCTTAACTCATTCCTTCACACATTTTTCGTAGGCTGGTTGAGGTATAGACTTAACTCAAAACGTCTTCTTTATAGTAGTGATTATAGCTTCCGAAACAGAAAAAAGTCACACAGGTTCAAATTCGACCTTCCACAGCCACACATGGCAGTATACCCATCCAACGGTTCCAATACAATCATACCACCGATTAACACAATCTTTCACTATCTTCCACATTTTGCGTAGACTACTAAAAGAGTATTGCCTTTAATTTATACAATAAATTGTTTTTATGGTGGCATTTGACTCAAAACTTGGTAATTCTGGAACAAAAAGGTCGCAATAGAACTTGTCAGGTGAGAATGATACTTGCTTTATCACATTTGTTCAGTTCTTTTGCCGAAAACTCTTATCCAACTTTCACGGAACACTTAAAAGTTTATCTCCAAAAAAGACTATATTAAAACCATGTCTAACAGATCCCCAGTTAAGTCTCGCATAGCAACACAGTATAAAACTCTACCAGTTTAAAAAAATTATACCGTACTTCAAATAAATTTCCGATAATTTTATATGATTCTAAGAAATTGAAGTTTTTGTAACTTCATAGAAAGTTTTTCTTATATGGTTACTGTGACAAACGTTGATTTCGATTTATACAGACTCCTTCACTCTCTATTAAATAAATAAGATATTTCATTTACATTTATTTCCCACTTAAATCAAACTTCAATCTATTTCAATCTTATACTAATTATATTAATTATTTGTACGCGAACACAAAAGCACTGAACTTATGTTCGAAACAGCTACGGTTTCATTTTTTTCCTATTAATCTACGTATCCATAAAATATATCTTTATATCGACATAATTAAATATTATTTTTTATTTGACATACTATCAGTATTTCACTTGTAGTTGAAAAATGTTCGTATCTTAGCTTATATATTGACAAACACATTATAATGCATTTCTAAATGTTGTGCGAGATAATGTGGCGTGATTTTATTTTATCAATTATTTCATGTTTTATTAAATTTTATTGACGCTGAATTTTGCAACATCAATAAAAAAATAATTTATAAGTCCAATTTGTATATCACCTGTATTAATTATAAATAATTTATTAAATTACTTTTTATAATTATATATAGTATATTTTATGAAATGTATGTGCATATAGTTATAATTAATTATACCTTTTTTTTATATGATTACGTTATATTTGTTTAACTCATTAACACTTTGGTAAATGACAGAAAAATTATTTCATTAATAATATTTTTATTTCCAGTTTTTATAGTGACCCCCCTATAATTTTAGGCTTAAAACCAGTTTCTTACTAGTTAAAAGAAAACAGATGCATAACCAGATGTGGGCTTGAGATCTAAGGACTGAAAATAATTGAAAATCTACTTTTACAATAGAAAGAACGAGAATTTTAGTTGCTTTATCCACAATTTAAAAATTTTATATCGAATTTAATAACATACCCCTTCTTTTTCTCTCTCTTGTTTATCATTCAACAATATCTGATCTCTATTAACTATATTTTATTGTCAAAGTTGACGCAATATTTTAGAGGGACTAGAAAAGTTGGAACATCACTAAGATCAAATTTTAAACAATTAATATCTTACCATATCTTTCATCAATTCTTTAAATATATAATTATCATACATTTCATTTTGCCCTTGCTAATATGAGTTAAACTCTTGGTACTTGCAGTCTCAAAAAATTATTTACGAATACTCGTATTTAATGAAAGTAAAGACCACTAAAGACCAAAAGATCACTAATGGTGTGTGGTTGGTATTTGGCAATACTCGAAACAGCTCTTTGATCAGCCATACAATTAAATTAATTAAAAATAATAAAAATTTTGTTGTTGCAATTCATTACTGCTCGAAAAGCTCTCTGTTGAAAACAATAGATAATTAATAGTTGATATTAAGAAAATAGTTTCTTTCGTCATAACTGAGATCAATTCAACATTTTATATTATACAATGCTTTCAGAGGGAGGGGTCTTGCAGTTCGCCAACGTTTGAAGAATTATTTAAAGATATTATATTTTTGGAACAATATAGACACCGATCCTTATAAAACACACTGTATATTTTTCTGGGTCACATTACGTTTTTATTTAAGAAACACTGATAGAGATTGAATAAAAACAAAAACAAGTATATTGATCATTATTGGAGTACTCTGTCTTATCAACATCATTATTTGTTGGAAGTAATTGCAATGTCATCAATTCACAGCAAAATATATTTTTCTAAGACATTAATTTGTAAAATTATTTTTAAATGACAAATGCGATAATAATGAAATTTATAGCAGTTATAAACGGCATCGTTTCAATATTTTTCAATATTACTTAAGCCATAAGATTTACTAAAATTATTAAATAATCTTTACTTAACATTTAACACTTACATGCAAATCCACGATTTTTATAGATCAATGCTAATTTCTGAAGTTTTAGCTTCTATATTTTTTTCTCTCTTTATTTATTTTGCTTTATTGTTTTTTTCACAAAATTTTATCTAAAAAATTAAAATTTTATATATAAATATAGAACAGTATTTAAATAATTTTATTTGCGAACTGGGTAAAGAGAATATTTAAAAGAAAAAATCATATTATGGCATTTTAGGACAAGGATATGCTATATAGACGGTTGAATCTATTACTAAAGTGTGTCATCAATGGTTATGATTATATTGATCATGAGAAATGTGATTCTTTACTTTTGAAACAAGCATGGACAGAGCAATATAGGGAAAGCATGTGCTATTCTGGGTTTCTCCTAGTAGAGTATAGCTCCGGAAATATGATAGAAAATATCTTGTTAAGTTTTAAAAACTTTATTTTTGATATATTAAATAGAAAAATTTTTTAAGAATTTTATTAATAAACTTTAATAGAAATTATTACACTTAAAAGAAAAATTTCTGACGAATTTTACGTCTTGTTGATCTTGAAGTATATTTATTTTTGGCACTTAAAAAAATTATTCAATGAAGATTAAACCAAGCATTTATCTCGCTGTAAATTTATTTAATTTTATTTAAATAAAATTTCAGTAATTTTTGATTCTAAATACTGTTCACAAAATTTTTAAATAATTAAATTTAAATTAAAATATTAAATGTTAAATATTGTTATATACTATATATAAATATACTATATATATCAAAGGTCGAATATACTTCTCTTCTTCATTTTGGCATTTATTTTAAATGATGTTAATAGTTATGATTTATATCTTTATATATTTGTATCTTTATATACTTTATATATTATTTATATATTATTTTTATATTATTTATATACTTATATAAACTTTATATACAGTTATTGAGTTCAGCTCTGTTCAGGGCTAACTGCCATATATATCTTTGTAGTTTATCCTTTAGAACTCTGTTAACAGGTAATCTTTAAAGCGATTCGCAATTTTCATTATGAATCTTCTAAAAAAAATCTCCATTCTAAATCGGATAACCCACATTTTATCCTATATGTATTTTATACGCCTTCTTTATTTTGTCAAACTTCAACCTATCATTGCGAATTCACAGAAAGAATTTTGATATATAAAGACAATTAAAAAATTCTAAAGATTAGGTTAGAAATGGACCTATGTGTATAACTTAGTAAGAATATTATTGTGAAAAAAAACAAAATAATTATTCAAGAATAATTAATTGTTTATTTATTTATTTGTTTAATTATTTGTTTAGCATTCGACACACAAAGTATCTGAAATTTATAAATTTAAATTTTCTAGTAAAACTAGTAAAACCTTTTTGAAAACATGTTTTTTGTGTATATATAATTTTCTTGGAAATGGGAAATAAGATATGTATTTGAAATATCTGATATCTGTAATACACATATGTAACGTATGCATTTATTCCCGGTAAAAAGCTGGAATTTATAAACTAAAACACATGTATAAAAAATACCGTGTTTTGCAGAAGTTTTTAGCAGGAAAAACTCACGATCGACCAAGCACAGTGCTTAACAGATATGTATCCATGGGATTTTTTTTTCTGTGTATGTGTGTGTTCTCGAAGCCGATTTTAATACTTTGATGTAAGCGTTTTGAACTAATTAAATCAATAAAAGGAAACTTACATACCTAAATCATCAACATAAGAAGGATTGTGTCAAACACTGTCATAGTTGTATTGCACCCAGT